CTACAAAGTCTCGAATATAACGAGCATTTTTCGAAGTGATAACGAGCTTTTGCTTGACATAGCAAAAGTGACAAGCAAAGCCGTCCAGCATATGCATTTCATTATATACTTGTATATGCATATCTGTTTGCACTTTTCCGTGTGTGATGGCTTCGACTCGATTTCAGGCAATCACTTTCTCAGATATGGGGTTCTTTTTTCCAGCAGTGGTTCCCAAACTTTTTCTCTTGGCCTCATTTTCGGAATTCAAATATACTCGCGCCTCACCAATTTTTATATGATAAAAAGTACATTAAACAATCAGAGAGAATGTTAAATATAGATAACCGCGAATTCGAAGTCGGAACATTAACATTGATAACTCTCTCCTCCAATTTGCAGAACCTAGCTACTATATTCGTAATACTTGATATAATGCAAAAATATTACAATGATAAAATCGGTCAATACTGGGACTCATGCATACAATTACAAGTAATCTTTAATAATATTTTAAATGTTGAAACAATATCTATTTTGGCATATGAATTCTTAGAAAGTGTTTCTAATTCTTTGATTTTTTTAAAAAATCATTCCGCCTCACCTGCTATCCTCTTCCGCCACATCTAAGAGACGCGTTGCATCAAGCAGCTAGGGTGCTACATTCTCTTTCACTGCTGTGGCAAATTTCCGCTTCATTTACAGTACTTGTTACATAAAGGCCGTATAACGTACAGCGAATGGCTTCTCCCTTTGTGTCGTGTCTTTGATGACAACACACAAAGATGTATTTTTCAGGATTGTCCTACTTAGAGATGACGTTTTGTATTAAGATTTTCAAGGAAATTATCATCAAGAACATTACGAATATATCTCTAGAATTGTCTATGATCAAAACACTCATGAATTTAAGCGTTCTACTAGGCTGGCAACTCGCTTACTCCCTTTCACTGTCGAAACTGTTAAATGTAGCCGTCTCTTCTACTCCAATAGCTTCATGTTTCGCACCTCCAGCCTGTAAAACTCCCTCCCCTTTTCTTGTTTCCCTGAGAGCTATAATCACCAACTATTGAAATTTAATGTCAATCGACGTCTCCAGATGCCCTGATCTATCCCCTATCCTTCTCTTCATCCTTTCCTCTATCACTCCTATTTGCTCTCACTCCAACTCTCTGTAACCCCTTGCGTGTTAGTGGCTTCCCGCTTGCTTGGAGTGAAACGCTTATTAAAAAAAAACAACAAAAAAAAAACATAATTCTGTTCGAATTCTCTCTCATTGTTCACAGTTTCCTCAATGGTAAACGTTCATAGGCTACGTTTTCCTTGCCATATTACATGATATTGTTATATGTCTCTTCCCGTTGGCGGTAGTCTTGGGACGACGGTCTTGATTCACTCATATGTTGCTTTTCTTCTTTCTGTCATCTTCCGGCCTCTTGGTTTGTTCAGAGGTAAAATGAGAACTTCAACAAAAGAGATTTTTAAATATATTTATTTTACAAACCACACCGACGTGTACATCTTTTAATTAGCCAGTGGGGTCGCTCTATCATCCCCACTGGGGAACAAGTTCTCAGAGACAGGAAATAACCACGTCTGATCACTTCGACGTATAAAACTTAACTCCACGAAATAACTTTCTATCTCTTTAACATTCTCACATTCGGCTGAGGTAATCAAAAATCAAGATCCCTATTTTGTCTGCCAGCTGACCACAAGGCCAGGCACAGAAGGTCTGAGCCAAATACAATGCCACTAGAAAATAATAGTCTGAAACTATTATTTAACAATATTAGCATCCTTCAATGTTCTGGAACCAATCTTTATATCTCTAATTCGGCTTTTTACTGATTTTTTACCTTCAGCTAACTCACTGTCGAGAAACTGCTTAGGAATCCTTTTAGCCACTGCACGACGTAATAATTACTCTAATTTATATAACATCCAATCGGGTATGCGGAAAACGTGGTCTTTCTTCGTCTAATTTATTAAAAGGTCAGAGTAGCTGTTATCGTTTGATTGTGAGGGGAAATCAGGGATTGATCTCCCCTGATTCGTTCGACTTGGTGATGGGGTATATGATGTTGAAAGACCCGAAACACCCTGATGAACCAAGTCAAATTATATCACTGACGACCCCCTCCGGCGCCTATTTAAGAGCGTATTTTTGAATTAATATAAAATTAATATTCTATACCACAGTTTCAGTGAAATAGATGAAGGCAGGAGACTATAGCATCCAAAACGTAATGAGATTGCTCAAAATTAGAAATTTATTTCACTTATTGTTGTGATATGAACGCTATCCGCAGTTTACAACGAAATATTCTTATCTCTTTCGGTATATTTGCGGATATGCCTAATAAAGCTTTTGTGATCGAACTTCAAACTGTACATTTTTTTCTAACAGGATGTGATTCACTGGTCCTTGGTGCAACCTGTATATACAAAGGAGGAAATATCATGCAAATTGTTGAGTCCATTTCCCAAAAGAGAAGCTAATAAAAAATAATGTTAACTT